TTTTTTTTTTTGAGACAGCCTCAAGTTATTGCACTGGGTAGAGGGCTGTGACATCACAGCTCACAGCAACCTCAAACTCCTGGGCTTAAGCGATTCTCTTGCCTCAGCCTCCCACGTAGCTGGGACTATAGGTGCCCGCCACAACACCTGGCTATTTTTTGGTTGTTGTCATTGTTGTTTGGCAGGCTCAGGCTGGATTTGAACCCGCCAGCTCTGGTGTATGTGGCTGGCGCCTTAGCCGCTTGAGTTACAGGTGCCACCCCAGCTATTTTTTGATTGTAGTTGTCATTGTTGTTTGCCAGGCCCAGGCTGAATATGAACTTGCCAGCTCTGGTTTGTGTGGCTGGCGCCTTAGTTGCTTGAGCTATAGGCACCAAGCCAACTCCTCTTTTTAAATGAAACACAAAGTGAAAGATGCCTCCTTTAAGTCTGCATACCCCTGTAGCCCCTGTGCTGCTGTTTCTCTCCTGTCCATGCTGGTTGCCTCCAACCTGTGCACCTCCCTGATCACTTCTTAGCCCTGCAGTGGGGCCTCACATCAGCCCCTGCTCCAGGACACTGCCCTGGCCAAGGCTACCAACTGAACCCCTGCTCCTAACCCCGCTGGACACATCTCGGTCCTTAATGACCTGTAGTATTCTGCTGACCACTAGCTCCTTTTTGAAATACTCCCTTCAGCCTCAGGAAACCACCGTCTTCTGGTGTGCCTCAAGGGCTGTCCTAAGCGCTTGGGTTTGTCTCTGTGACCTCCCTGTTGACAACCTTGCAGATATGCACTTTCTAGGACCATCGGTCCTGGCTAATATACCATCTGGTTATGTACTCACTTGAGCACTACTTCCTGGTATCTCACATGCACTCCAAATTTGAATTGATGGAAAATAACCCCTCCATTCACTCTGACCACTACCCTGGAGCTCCCAGAGTTGAAGGGCACCACTGTTACCACTGACCCAAGCTTGAAACCTTGGTCATCCTTGATTTCTTCCTCTCCTCCACCTCCTGAATCCGAGCTTTGCCCAACCCTTTTACACACATCTTATTGCCTGTATCATTGTCCCTTTGGGTACAATGTGCTGGTGGCTCTGCTTTCATAGTCACCTCTTATCCAACACTGCAGGCAGCAAGTCTGTCCAAGTGCAAATGTCACATCAGTCCCTGCTTGGCTCAGACCCCTCCATTATCCCCAGGAGTCAAACTCCTGCCCAAAGTTCAACACCCTGCTGACTGGGTCTCCAGCCTCCATGTCCACTTCTCCCCCTCTCCCTTCTCCTTGTTCTGGCTATGTCTGTCCTTCTCCATTGGCCAGCTCTCTTATGAAGCCTCTCCTGAATCTCCCCCCCACCCCCACAGACACACCTGGGGCAGGGAGTTTTATGACTGATCCAGAGTAGGGTCTATACTGAATGGCTGCTTAAAAGACCTTTGTCATGAAAAGCCAGAGTGGAATTCCTTTGTGGCTAAGAGGCAGATTTACAGCAACTTACATCAGTGTGGTTAGTTTGTGTGAGTTCACCTCACTTGTATTGTTCTGCTTTGATATTATTTTCCTTCTTAACCTTTTGGTACACCTATCCCATCCCCTTGAGATGAGGGTCATCTGTTTGCCATTAAGGGAAGTGGTTGCCTCTGGAATGGCCATTGATTACCTCTTCCCTCTGGCTCCCAGGCCTCCTAGAGCTCCTAGAGCCTAAAGACCAGGATCCTGGAATGGCTCTCCCAGTGTCCTCTCCCTTCTAGGAATGGGCTTCCTGTGCAGGCTGATGGTTACCGTGTCTACCAGTCCCCAGATGGCACACTACTGATCCACAACTTGCGGGCTAGGGACGAGGGCTCCTACACCTGCAGCGCCTACCGGGGGAGCCAGTCAGTCAGCCGTAGCACCGAGGTGAAGGTGATCCCATCTGGTAAGAAGGGCCTGTCTCCAAGGTGGGAAGGGCACCCTAGGGTACTAGCTTGTTCTCAAGGGCTGGCTTCACGTCCTGGAGTATAGGCCTGCAGTGCTGGGGACTCTAGTTTAAATCCTGGCTCATCTCGCCAGTTTCTGGTAGCATGACCCTGGGTAAGGGGCTCAGCTTTCCTGAGCATCTCTTTCCTCATCTGTGCACTGGGGCTATCCCACCATCTGGGAGCTGCAGTGAAGATGAAGGAAATGAAGCTTCTGCTGGGCACTGGTAAGAATGGAGCAGATGTTAAGTATAGTATTGTCGTTCAGAATTAATGACTTTAAGAAATATGATGGAGTGGAATTTTATTATAAAACTTACGGCAGGTTACACCTGCCCATTCTTGTCAGAGTAACAGAAAATGGACCTATGACTGAAAAGTGCCTTTATGGCCACTTGACCATATAACCCAGAAAGGAAAGGGCAGGAGCTTATTTGGTGTTTCACACAGCAATGTAGTGGCCTAGCTGGGTCTAGAACCCCAGTCTTTTTGACTCTCCACAGGTTAGATATACATATTATATAAATATGTGTATGTGTATTTTTTGGTGGCTACTGTTATATCTGCAAATGAGTGGAATTTTACCTGCTTTATTAGTAACTTGATATTGAAGCCTTATATTCTTCAGCTCCTGCTTTCAGAGTTGTATTTCAATGAATCAAGATGCCATTTTGTCAGAGGCATTATTTTTATACCGCTATGAAGTTGTTGCCAATTAAAATGATACAATGCTAAGGCACCATCAATTAAGATAGACATTCTGGGCTCGGTGCCTGTGGCTCAAGCAGCTGGGGTGCCAGCCACATACACCTAAGGTGGCGGGTTTGAGTCCCCAGCCCGGGCCCGCCAGACAACAATGATGGCTGCAAACAAACAAAAAAAGAAATGGCCGGGTGTTGTGGCGGGCGCCTGTAGTCCCAGCTACTTGGGAGG